CACCGAGGGAATCACTGCCGCGGAAAGCGAAAGCAAAGGACGGACGGAGTCGTGGTTTCAGCCACAGTCTCGGTTTCACCGGAGCTGTGCCAAGCAGCGAGACTGTGACCTTGGCCTGCGCAAATATTTAAAACTAAACTTCATTCTCTCATAGAGCAAAAGTAAAAACTTGCTATTACGTTCATAGATTTGTCATGACATAGAACTGCTGATTTATATAAATGTGCATTATGTGACATTAGATCCTTGAAGTGTAAAAATGTATACATGGCTTTATAATTACGAGATTTCTTTTCTGTCTCACCTGTCACTTATTACTTGTTAAATGTCAACAAGTCTGAGGCTTTTAGGGTGTTAATTAGGACCTTGTGCTCCTTTTGGGATGAGCTTTCCTGCAGTTTGTGATAGGTAGGATGATTTCATGTTACAGTTTTTATAATAGGAAGGACTGGAGTGCAGGCCAGGAGGGCACCTCCACTTCCTTCTTGTGAGAGGCCGGGTCGTCTTAACTGCAGCGCATCGGCTGGTGGCTGGTGTCTACTGTAACAGGCGTTCATTAAATTGAAACAGTAAGTGAATAAAACCATCTGTCTACTGTTTTGATTCTGAATTTTAAAAACAGGGTAGGACTTGTGCAGAGATTGTGTATTTCGGCCAGTGAATGTTTATTTGTCTATGACTTGATGAACCCTAGACATGGCTTAGACTTACTACTTTACCTGCTTCCTGTTGGAGATAAAATAATATGAAAGAAAAGTTGGTAGTTTAGAAAAAGAATTTCCTCAAGATAAAAGCATTCCTAGCTGATACACTTTCCAGTACCCTCTGACTTGAAAAGACCCAATAGTAAGAGAACAGATTTCTCTGGGAGCAGATAAGCACTTAGGGCTGGTGGGCTGTGTGAATGTGTGATACCAGCAGAGCCAACAAGAGGAATTTCTGTACCTACTTTTCACCATGCCACATTCCCCAGCAACTTGAGTTTATCTCCTCTTACAACTAAGGAAACTAGGGCTGCTAATCAGCTGCTTAGAGCCGTACGGTCTTCCCTCACCCTAAGGCCCCAAACTCATCTGTTGGCAGAGTCATGGACCTCCAGACTAGAGACTTTCCTTTTCCTAGTTCTGCTAATAACTGTTGTATCCTAGACCAGCCGCTTAACTCCTGTGGTCCTCAGTTTTGGTCGTTAGGGTGGAAAATGTTCCCCGCTCCACCTCCTGAAGGAGCTCCAGGATAAGTGGGCCTGTACTTCTTTCGTGCTTGCGATGTGAAACCTGGTCATAGAGAAATCTGCGGTAGGCCGGGGATTTAGCTCAGTGGTTCTGCCGCCTGCCTTGAAAGTGCAAGGTCCCGAGTTCGATCCCTGGTACAAAAAAAGAAAAAAAGATTGGACTGTCTTGGAGAAATCTGCAGTGCTGCTTCACTCTGATGGGGATGGAGCACTGGGCCTTTACTCTGAGCTATATCCCCAGCCCTTTATTTTTATTATTGTTATTGTTTTGTCTGTGTTTTTGAGACAAGGTCTCCCTTTGTAGCACAGGCTGGCCTCGAACTCATGCCTGTGCTCCTGGCTCAGCCCCCCGAGTGCAGGGACCACCACACCGTCGGCTCCCTTTTTTTATTTTGAGATAGGCTTTTGCTAAGTTGCCAGGTTGCCCGGGCTGGACTTGCACTTTTGGATCCCCCTGCTCTTGGCTTGTCGAGTGCTGGGATGACGGGCGTTGGTCACCATGCGCAGCTTTCCTTGGCAGTTTTCAAAGTATCTTTACTATATATATATATATATATACACACACACAAATAAAAATAAATAAAAAGTTCCAATCCGGAACTGAATTTTCCGGCAAAATAACATTCTTTAGTACTCTGTGCTATTGCTTTTCGTTATGTTTGGTGTCGTTTGCCTGTGTTTTAATTCTTATCAGTAGCTGTGCACACGCTCACCTTTCTTGTGTCAAGTTGGTACACGTATCTAGTGCTCTTACTTCCTTCTCCATTCCCTGCCCCTTCCTCTGTCTCTCGATCCCTGAACTGGCTTGTAGCTTAAGAAAGCTGATAGTTTCTCGAATGATGTTCAGTCACCAGTTGACCCGTGAAAATGAAGTTGTACTTTGCAGAAACTCTGACAGGCACAGGAGTTAGCAGTAGGTCTCTTCTGTTTGCTGTGATCACGAAAGCTGTTGTACAGAAGTGAGAAAATCTCAGAAATTGTTTTTGTGGGTTTTTTTTTTTTTTCTGTTTTGATGCCTTTTCCCTTGCCTTTCCCTGAAAACCATTATCCCCAGAGATCTCTGCACTTTGTTACTTTCAACAGCTGGTGCAAAGCTTGACATTGAGGCTTTTTGTTTGGTGTGAGGGTCTAGTGATAATAGATTATTTTTATTTTTAGCACCTGAAGTTATCCAGAGATGTACTGTATAAAGTTAATGGGAATATTGTACACTGTCATGAAAATTCATTAAACTATAGTATCATTTGGGTCGTTTAACAATCAAAAAGGAAACTTTTGAAAAACTTAAACACAATCCCCAGAATTAAAATCTTAAGTGCCCTTCACAAGTGAAGTACTAGTGAGGCAGAGGCTTAAGTACGTGTACCAGCTGCTCTCAGTGACTGTTCCAGGGAAGTTGGGGTGAGCCTGGGGTGCTTTTGGCTGTGTGGTGGGCTGGACTCTCGAATCCCCCCTGAGAAGACTTTCGGGAGTCCTCGGAGTGGGACAGTCAGAGCAGAGTCGTCTGTAGCAGGCGTGTATACTCAGGCACAGGGCAGTCCACCCTAAACAAGGCTCCCTGCTGTGTTCAGGTGGTAAATACCTCCCCCCCCACCCCCCGCCGCCAGGAGGATGGGCACTGGCCGGAGACGGGACACTGAGGTCCAGGGTTGGCTTCTCTGTTGTTTCCTTAGAATTTGGGCAATGGCTAGGAGGTGGTGACTCTGCGGCTTCCTTCCTTCTCCTCAGGAGGGTCAGTTTGTGGGCCTGGTTAGAACCAGCACAGCAGCCAGAATCCCTCAGGCTCAGAAGCTGCAGTGCAAATACATGCAAATGAAGCCTAGCTGGTCACTTGGGGCCGCCCCAAGGTGTGACTGTGGGACCCGCAGCTGTGAGATGGGTAGAGGGGGAATTTGCAAGGGGGCATGATGTGCTCTTCTCAGAGGTGTGGGAACCACAAACTCAGGAAATCTAGACCATGGCCTTTCTTAGAGTTTTTTCTTAGGGTCCTGTTGCCAGTTTCCCAGATACATGTCATTTATGTCTTAACTACATACTCTTACTATGATATGCTAGCTTAATTGGAAGAAAAAAATGTCTAAAATTGACCTTTCTAACTGCTGTTTTCTTGCAAACAGTTCATTAAGAGTCAGACGAGGGTGGACCATCAAAGGGGCATCAAATAGAAAAATGCTGTCGGGGCCTTATCCTCTGAAGATGTCTCGGTTATTCCTGGGCCAGTGTGGCTGTGCAGCAGAGGTGGACACTCACTGGGTAGCCCTGCTGCACAGCTGGATGCGCGGTAGAATCACTGAGGGAGATTTCTTGAGCACTGCTGTTTACACCATTGTTGAAAAAATCCTGACCTAACTTTTCTGGATGAGGACCAGAATTTTTCCCTAAGCTTTCCAGGTGATTTTATTGTGTAGCCAGAGTTGAGAACTGCTTGAGAGGATGATGGTAAATTGTTTATGGAAAACTGCTATCAATTGACTGTTGAGTGAAGCTGCTTCATATGGACTGTTTCATGAACTTATCGCATGACCAGAAGATGAATGTATGACTTGTGTTTGGAAATTTATGTAATCTTTGGCCAGTGGGTTCATACTTGTTTGTTTTTTGGTGCCTGGGATCGACCTCAGGACCTTGCGCTTGCCAGACAGGTGCAGCGCCACTGAGCTACATCCCGGCCTTTATGCATTCATGGTGTCACCAGGAGTGACACGTAACAAGCTGTCTCTATCACCAGATTTTTAGCAGCCACATGTTTTCCTGTTTTCATATTGGAGTTAAGTATTCAAGTATTTCTGAAATGAGTTATGCCTTATTGAGATAAACTACCTGTAAAGAGATGAAGTTGTTTTTAAAGTGTAGTGTTGAGGGATAGCTCTTCAGGTGTCTAAATTCTGTGAATTGATTTTGATGATTCCTAGTGTTGCAAGGGGAAGTTCTTGCTCATTTGTACCACCCTTCTCACTATTGATTTTCTGTTTTTAAGTGGTGATCTTGTATTCACTTGAGAACATTGCAACTTTCTCGCAACTCTTGAGGATGTACTATTGCAGTGTTGGAAATCTTGAAGCTTGAACAGTAAATGAGTTTATGCTTGTTAAGTCTCTTCCCTTTTTTTGCCAGGTAAATAAAAATGAATTATTGTGTTACACTATTCCATCTATCTGATACAGGCTGCCTGTCACTTTGTAGCAGTCCTTGTATTATTAATAGTAACAATTTAATAAGCTTATTGTTATGGGTGAAGTGTGTTTGGGTTGCATAATCTCACGGGTGCCAGTAAGAACTAGCCAAGATTGTTCACTTTTTGTTCCTATGGGAACACGATGGGGATAGGGAGATGGGGACCCCAACAAGCCTTTAGACAGCCTTAGGAGCGTGAAATGAGGATTTTTAACGGAGGTTAGATGATGAGGCACCTGAAATGGCACAGTTTTAAACTTTTTTTTGGAAAAAGAGCTAGAACATCTTCATATTTTTATGTCTGTGGTTTAAAAAAATACTAAGAACCACTAGAATTGAGAAAAGTCAGTATGATTTGAGTTGAGAAAGCGTGTCCTGTGTTCCTGTGTGAGTGTGCTGTGTAACTCTCGCGGGATCATAGTACACTGTAGGAAACGGCGGCTTTCCTGACGTGAATATATTTATAAAAACGGTATTCTTAGCAGATCGAGGATGCCGTACTGAATTACCTGGAAAGGTTTCTTTACATTTTCTGGTTCTGAAATTAAAATTGATTTAGAGTCATTGAAAATTAATTGCATTCTTTTTCTTGTAGAATTTACCATCTGCTGTAGTAACTCATGTTCTGAATCCTCAACCGGGAGAGAAGATTCTGGATTTGTGTGCAGCTCCTGGAGGTAAAACAACACATATTGCAGCACTAATGCATGATCAGGTGAGTCTGTCTTCCAAACAGAAGTACTGTCGACATACTGTGTATTTCAGTGGTCAAGGTGAGACTGTATATCACTTGAGAAACATGTTGATATCATGATCCTGTTTATTTCAGATTCAGTCAGAATGAGGACTATTGAACTACGTCAGTCACCATGTCTTAAATTCAGTAGAAGTTGCTGTTTATGCAGCCAGACATGGTGGCACACAGCCTGTAATCCCAGCACCCGGGAGGCTGAGGCAGGATTGCTGTGCATGGAAGGCCAGCCCGGGATACGAAGCGAGTTCAAGGCTAGACCAGACTACATAGCTGTAGGGAATGGGGAAGGGGACATTACCAGGACCTCTGCCATGGGTCCTGGCCTGTGAGCCACCACAGCACAAGGAGAATTAAAGAACAGATAAGAAACGAGACTTGGAGAAGCTGGGTCTTGGGTCCTGGTCAGTGCTGCTGATGGCTGCAAAGACAAAGGCCCCCAAGCACATGAGCATTTATTAAATACAGCTGTGGGAAGGAATAGGGGACAGGGGAGCTTTGAAGTCATCCGGTGAAACACTGCCGTACACCTGGCATGATGGCGCCAGGCAGGGCTGTCAGGGAGTCAGCACCGTTTATCTTGTGAGGATGGAACAAACCAGCACAGGGACCGGCTGCTATTAGCACGCAACCCATCAGGTCAGTGAGAAGCCATAATTCAGGGGAAAGAGTTTTAATTGGGGTCAGGCTGACCTCAGCTGCACGTGAACGCAGCAGAGCCCTGCCACTTCATAGGCCAGGACTTAGGTTTCCATGGCAGCCATTGGGGGAGGCGCTCTACTCACCAGCCCGCCAGCTGACCCGCCCACTGAGTCACGTAGGGCTGTGGTCTGACTCCTGCTATGAAACGATACAGCCGAATTGTGGAGAGCAAGAAGCAGGTGCCACTCAGCCCGCTAGTACTGGGCAGGGAGGTCTGCTACACGTAGTGAGACCCTGAATCAAACAAAACAAAACAAAACAAAAAATTGCCATTTATGAAGACTGTCCTAAGACCTTCCTTGTTTTGTTTTGTTTTTTGTTTTTTGAGACAGGGTCTTACTATATAGTCCAAGCTGGCCTTGAGTTCATCCATACACATACATAGATAATATATACACATGTGTCTCTTATGGATCAAATAAACCTTATGACCTAATTTAATTTTAAAACCTTCATGATCACAAAATTCAAGTAGGTCTGACTTTTGATAACACTAGTTTCGATTTCACTGTGTTTTCCTATGTGTACCTTTGCTAAGTTGTTTTTTTCTTATAGACTAGATTTGTCGTGTTCAGGAATCATTGCAGGCTTGAGGTTGTGGCTCAGTCGTCCTTTGGTTCCCTGGCATGTGCTTGGCCCTGGCAGGAGACTGAGTCTGGAGTCTAGGGGAGAGGTCTGAGTTGGGGATACACATTCAGAAGTCATCAGTGTAGACAAGCAGATGGAGAAGAGAGTGGAAGAGTTCTGAGGAGTGAGCCTCATGAGTGTTGAATAGCAACATTCAGAGGTTGGGGAAATAAGGAATGGGAAAACGGAAGAGTTTGATACCCTGGAAGTCGTGTGAGGAAGGGGTTGAAAAAGGTAGTGAGGCCCCTTGTCAAAAATTGATGAGCCAAGTAAGAAGACTGAATAGTCCCACTGGATTTAGCAGCATGTTACAGGTCCTGGGGGACCTTGTCATGAGCATTTTTGAGTTTAAATGCACTTTTAGATCGAGAATGAGAAGAATCGGTGGATGAAGACAACTGTTATGGGATAGGTGGTGTACAGGAAAACAGGGAGATGGGGCTCAGGCGGTATGTGTGTTTTAGAATGAGAACAGTGTAATAGAGCTTTTTCAAAGGGGAAGGGGGTCAAATTTTGGAGCAAGGGGTTTGGGAAGGGAGGAAAAGGCCTTGGGAGGAGGAATTAAAATGAACCGTGTGCACGTACCAGCTCCACACTAGGAATGTAAACATGTACTGCAGACATGTACAAAAAAAGAATGAAGGGGATCAAGAGGTGGATGCTGTGCAGAAGGAGGTAAGAGAAAGGGATGATAAAAAGGAGTAAGTTTTAAGAAAGCTCTCCAGTAGAAAAAGATACTTGTTTAAATTTTGAGGAATCAATACTCTTGGTATTAAGTGGTAAGAAATATACTTAAAGAATTTAGTAGCAGGAAAAACTCTTGAAGGAAAATTGCCTTAAATGCCAGTAGTGTGTGAAATGAAGACATGAGGTACAAAGGTTCATTTTATGGAGTCGTGTTTAATGCAAATCTTTTTTGGTGTATATGGAAGCTTAAATGTAAAGATTTTGATATGCTTTGAGAAAGTGATAGTAAACCCCCTCTAATTTATGGTATATTTATTCTGTTTCCTCAAAGTCAGTTAATTCTATTTCCTTAAAGTGATTTTATTCTCTCTAGTAATAAGTCTTTCCACTCAGTGGGCTTCATAATGCGTTGTAAAAGATACAACCTTGGCGGTATATACATAGGCGTCCGGTGGGCTCAGGGGTCTGTAGGATGCAGTTGCTGCCCACTAGGCCAGCTTGTGCACCTGGGCAGCTGCAGCTTAGGCAGTTCTGGTATCCTGGGTTGGCTTATTCACTTGGACGTGCATGGTTTGCGCTTTTTGAAAGTGAGTTCAGCTGAGACAACTACGAGGCCCTCCCTTTCTGGTCCCTGTCTTGTCTGCTAGGACCAGAGAGCCAGCCCAGTAGAGGGCAGTAATTGGGGACTGGTGATAGCAGAGAGCGAAGCTGAGCACTCTGCTCCTGTCACATTTACCATCGTCCTGATGGCCGAGCAAATAACAAGGCTGAGCCTGTCAGTGTCTGGGAACATGACCAACAAATATCCTGTATTGCAGTCTCTACCATAAACTTATTTCTCCTGTGTAGCAGAAAATTTGATGTATATATCCTCTGAGGATGATATGTATGTACACACATATATATGTGGAAGAAAAGCAAGAAAACTATAAAAGAATCAATCCGCCATCTTATTTCATAATATCATATTGTATGTTTAAAATACATGAATGTCAACAGTGCATGCCTAAAATTATGGTCTCTTGTCTTTATTGACTTTGACTTAACTGATGTGTTACCATATGTAGTGATTTTTAATTGTTTTTTAATGCTATTCCAGAACATTTTGCTGTGATATGTAGAGGTTTTTGGCTTGTTTTTCTGGCCTTATTTGCCAAACTCACAGGCATTTTATGTGAACAGTTCAGAATATTAAAAGAGGGCCCTGCTGGGAATTTAGCTCAGTGTCGCCACACCTGCCTCACGAGTGCAAGGTCCTGAGTTTGATTTGCCATTACCGGAAAAAAAAAAAAAAAGAGGGCTGTTTTTACAAATAGCATTCATTTGCCTAGAAAGGCATTTTAGGTCAGATGTCTCCTAGCATTAGTTCACTCACTCCCATCATCAAATGGGTGAATTTTAAAAAATTATTTTTTTTGCAGCACCAGGGATCAAACTCAGGACCTTGCACTTGCAAGGCAGATGCAGTGCCACTGAGCTAAATCCCCGGCCCTCAAATAGGTGAATTTTTTTTTTTCTTTTTTTGTTATCGGGGATCGAACTCATCAAATAGGTGATTTTTTTGTTTTTTTGTTGTTTTTTTTTGTTTTGGTACCGGGGATCAAACTTGGGGCCTTGCGCTTGTGAGACAGGTGGCGGAACCACTGAGCTAAATCCCCAGACCTAGGTGATTTTTAATATTTGCTTTCAATGGGTGTTTCTTAAGTTTGAGTAGGTTGCAAATACTTTTTGAAGTTTTGATTCCTCTTTATTAGCTATAAGAAGACTTCGGTATTTGGTGTAAATTTGGTGTGTATTTGTTTAAGGAATACAGCTTTAAAAGTAGGGATGGCAGGAAAATGGGGAAGATCATAATTTTTTGCAAGCTAATTTTGTATTTTCATGACTGCTTTGGATTTATGTTTTGTTTTTTTAATTTTATTTTCTTTAGGGAGAAGTAATAGCACTGGATAAAATAGCCAACAAAGTAGAAAAAATAAAGCAGAATGCTTTATTGTTAGGATTGAATTCTATCAAAGCATTTTGCTTTGATGGAACAAAGGCACTTAAACTAGATGAGATTGAGGACACAGAAGGTAAGTTAAATTTTGATTTTGTTTTATTTATTGTTAATTGACCAATCTTAATTGTATGTATTTATGGGTAACCATGCAGTGTTTGGATCTACAGTATGTATAAATGTAACATGATTAAAACAAGCTGATTAACACATCTATTGTTTTTTGTGGTAAAGCATTTGAAATTTACTCTTAGCAGTCTTGAAATGCGCATTCCTGCTAACTGCAGTTACCATGCTGTGCAGTAGATCTCAAAAACTCATTTTTCCTATCTAGCAGGAAATTTGTACCTTTTGGACAGCATCTCCCCATTCTTGCCTATTCTCCGCATCTCTAAAACCCCTCTTCTACTCTCTGCTTCTCAGTTTGACTTTTGATTCTGCGTATAAGTGAGATCATACAGTATTTATTTTTTGGTGCCTGCCTTGTTTTACTTATCATAACAACCTCCAGATTCATCCATATTGTCACAAATGACAGAATTTCCTTTTTTAAAGGCTGAATAGTGTGTGTGTGTGTGTGTGTGTGTGTGTGTTGCATTTTCTGTGCCATTCATCTATGCAGGTGGATAATTGGGTTGACTTCATATCTTGGCTCTTGTGAATAATGCTGTAATGAATATGGGAATACAGATATATCTTTGACATATTGATTTTTAATTTCTTTTGTATATATTCCCACTAGTGAAATTGCTGGATTGTGTGGTCATTTTATTATTAGTTTTCTGAGGAACCATACCGTTTTCCATGATGGTGTTAGTAATTTACATTCCCACTGACACTTGCTGCTGTCTCCAAGTTATTTCTACTCTTTAGCCATCTTACCATGTGTGAGGTGATGTCTGATACGGTTTTGATTAGCATTTCCCTGATGATTAGTGATGCTGAGCAACTTTTAAGGTACTATATTTGTTGTCACTATCTTCATTTGAGGAAATATTCTTGACCTTTGCACATATTTTAATTGTATTGTTATTGAGTTGAGTTTATGTATTTTGAGTAGTAGACTATTATTGGATATATACTTTGCAAATATTTCTTCCCATCATGTGGGTGTCTTTTGCTGTGCAGAAGCTTTTTAGTTTGATGCAACCCCATTTGTCTATTTTTACTTTGGTTGCCTGTGCTTTCAGGATCATAGCAAAAAAATAACTGTCTAGACGAGTGTTGTGGACCTTTTCCTCTGTATTTTTTCCTACTAGTGTATTTTATTTACATTTTCAAGTCTTTAATCCATTTTGAGTTTATTTTTGTATATGGTATAAGGTAAAGATTGTTTCATTTTCTGGACGTTCAGTTTTTCCGGTACCACTTACTGTACAGACTGTCCATTCCCTATTGTGTATTTGTAGCACCTTTATTGAAAATAAATTATACCGATACCTTGGTTAAACACTTTCATTGGTTCCAGGAGGCCCAGTGAATACCAAAAATGATGAGTACCACACAGGTTCTTTTTTTTTAGCAAAACATTTATTGGTACATTTTAGATATACATAATGGTAACGTTCATTATATGGAATTTGCACCTGTACAGGATGTATCTTCTTTTTTTTTCCCATTCCCCCATCTTATAACCTTCTTCCCCTCTTTATATACAAAAGCTTTGTTTCTGTTTTTTCCTTCTGTTTTTTCTCTTGTCCCTTCTTTTCTTCCCCCTGCCCCCTCCCTTGCTCCCCTTCTCATTTGAACTTTTCCTCCCATTTCTCAGTATCTGTTATACATTTTAGTCTTTATTTCCATTTTTGGTTTCTCACATCAGAGCAACAGTATGGTATTTAAACATGTGTGTCTGATTTTTTTCGCTGAAGAGTATAGTCTCAAGGTGCATCCATTTAGCTGTAAATGTCTCAAGCTTATCCTTCTTTATGACAGAGTAATACTCCATTGTTTAAAAAAACACATCTTTTTTATCCATTTGTTGGCTGATGGGCATTTGTGCTGTTTCCAAGATTAAGCTATTACAAATTGTGCCACTATAAACATGGGTGTGCATATATTGCTGTGGTATAATGCTTTTATTTCTTTTGGGAGGATACCAAGAAGGGGAATAGCTGGGTCAAATTGGACTTCTAATCCTGGATTTTTGAGGAATCTCCACACTGATTTCCACAGTGGTTGCACCAGTCTGCACTCCCATCAACAGTGGAGAAGGGTTCCTTTCTCCCCACACCCCTGCCAGCATTTGTTATTGGTTGACTACTTGATAGCAGCCGTTCTTTCTGGAGTGAGGTGGACTCTTAGAGCGGTTTTAATTTGCATCTCTCGGACCAGTGATATTGAACATTTTTGCATATATTTATTTGCCATTTCTACTTCTTCATCTGAGAAATGTCTATTCATTTCAGTTGCCCATTTTTGGATTGGGTCTTTAAATTTGGGGAGGCATGATCTTTTTTTTTAGTTCTTTATTCTAAATAGTAGTCCTTTGCCTGAGGAGCAGCTGTCAAAAAATTTTCCCACACTGTGGGTTGTCTCTTCATTCTGTGGTGTTTTCTCTCGCTGTGCAAAAGCTGGTTTTTTTGGTACCAGTGTTTGAACTTGGGACCTTGCGCTTGTGAGGCAGGGCGTGCTGGCGGAACCACTGAGCTAATTCCCCGGCCCCACAAAAGCTTTTTAATAAGATGAGATCCCAGTTGTTGATTCTTTGTGATGGTTCCTGTGTGATCAGTGTTTTATTCATGAAGTCTTTTGGCGGAGTATTTGGGGTCTCCTATGTTGAGTATCATGTCATCTGCAAATAATGATAATTTAACTTTTGGCTTTCCTGTCCTTTTATTACTTTCTCTTGTCTAATTGCTCTCGGTAATATTTCCAGAAATATATTGCATAAGAGTGGTAATAATGAACATCCTTGTCTTGTTCCTGATTTTAGAGTGAAAGCTTTCAGTTTTTGTATATTTAGTGTGATGTTGGCTGTTAGATTTTCATAGATGGCTTTTAGCAAATTGAGATAAAGACCATCTATACCAATTTTCTGTGGGGTTTTTATCATGAATGGGTGTTGGACCTTGTCAAACTCTTTCTCTGCATCTCTTGAGAGGATCATATGGTTTTTGTCCTTGGCTCTGTTAATATAGTGTATTACATTTATTCATTTGTGTATGCTGAACCATCCCTGCATCTCTGGGATGAATCCTGCTTGGGCATGGTGTATAACCTTCTTGATGATTTGCTGCATTTTGTTTGCCAGTATTGTATTGTGGATTTTTGCATTTATGTTCATTAGGAAGATTGGCCTATAGTTCTCTGTTTTGGTTGGATCCTTGTCTGGTTTTCACATCAGGGTAATACTTGCTTCCAGGAATGAATTTGGGAGTATTGCTTCCCTTTCAATTTCATGAAAGAGTTTGAGGAGTAGTGGCATATTAGGTCTTTTCTCTAAATTTCTTGTAGAATTCAGCAATGAATCCACCAGGGCCTGAGCTTTTCTTAGTTGGTAGGTTTTTATTATTACTTCAATTTCATTGACTGATACTGGTTTATTTAGAAGTTTTAGATCTTCTTGATTCAGTTTTGGTAATGCATATATATCTGGGAATCTGTAATTTCTTTTTTGTTTTACATCTTACTTGAATACAGGTTTTTTTTTTTTTTTTTTTTGGTTTTTTTTTTGCGGTGCTGGGGATTGTGCTTGGGGCCTTCACATTGAACTACATCTCCAGCCCTTTAACTTGCCAGTCAGGCACAGAGCCACTGAGCTAAATCCTTGGCCCATAAAGCCTTTTTTTTTTTTTTTTGGAGTACAGGTTCTTGAAGTAGCCATTGAAGATCTTCTGGATCTCTGAAGGATCTGTTGTGATTTCTCCCTTTTCATTCATAATTACCTGCAATTTGAGTCATTTCTTTCTTGTTTTTTTTTGTGTCAGGGATTGAACTCAGGACCTTGAGCTTATGAGGCGGGCTGTGGCAACACTGAGCTAAATCCCCTGCCCTTTTCTTTCCCTTTTGTTGATAAGGTTGGCTAAGAGTTTGTCAATTTTATTTAATCTTTCAAAGAACCAGTTCTTTTGATTCATTGATTCTTTGTATTTTTTTCCTAGTCTCCACTGCAATAATATCTGCTCTGATCTTTATAATTTTCTTCCTCATATGAGCTTTGGGCCCGACTTGCTCTTTTTCTAGAAGCTTGAGGTTCAACATTAAGTTTTTATTTGAGCCTGTTCTGTTTTCCTGATGAGTATTCACCATTATAAATTTCCCTCATATAACTGCTTTCATTGTGCCCCATAAGTTCCAGTGTGTTGTATTGGCATTATCATTTATAGATATATAGTTATAAATAGTTATATATATAGTTATAGAAAGTGTCTGATATCTTTATATTTCATCTGTGACCATTGGTTGTTCAGAAGGGTGTTAATTTCCATGTGTTTATGAAGTTCTTGCCATTGATTTCCAATTTCATTGCACTGTGGACAGATAATATGCATGAGATAATTTCATTTCCTTTACATTTACTTAAGCATGTTCTGTGAGCTAGTATGTGATCTATTTTGGAGAATGTCCCATGTGCAGCTGAGAAGAATGTGTATTTTGACATTGTCAGTGGAACACTCTGTAGACATCTACTAAGTATTTGTTCAAAAGTTTGGTTCAGTTCTAATATTTCATTATTGATTTTTTTGTCTAGTTGTTCTATTTGTGACAATGGGTATTGCTGTCACCCATTACAATTGTACTAGTGCTTATTTGATTTTCCATGTCCATTAATTTGTTTTATGTTGTTGGTTGTACTGCTGTGTGATGCGTATGTATTTATGATTATTATCTCTTCCTCTTGGACTGTTCCCTTTATAAGAATGTAGTGACCTTCTTTGTCTCTCTTAATCAGGCGTGGCTTGAAATCCATTTTATCTACAAATAGAGTAGCTACCCCTGGTTTTTTCCAGATTCCTGTCACATGGAATATTATTTTCCATTCTTTGACTTTCAGTCTATGAATTTCTTTTTGAATTAAATGTGTTTCTTGTATGCAGCATGTTGTTCGATCTTGCTTCTTGATCCATTCTGCCAGTC